ACGCCCGCCCTGCCCTGCCCCCCTCCCCACCATGCACAGTGGTGAGAAAGGTGGGTTCTCCAGGGAGCACAATTATAAGAGCCCAGAGATGACATATCCAGGAGCCACCCAGCATTGTAAACAGCACTCTTTTCAGACTTGTCAGGTTGAGCTTCTATTTTGCCGTCCACCCTCGGAGAAGGAAAAGGCTGGTGCCAGCCGGGTCAAGAGGTAGGAAGAGCAACATTTGCTGTGGGCCAGACCCCTCGCTAGGAGCTGAGCAGCCATCGTGGCGCGTGATCGCTGTCCCACTCACGGCAGCGCACTTGGAAACCCGTCCCGGTAAAGTGAAGGGGGCGAAGTCACACGGCAGCAGAAGAGACAGCGGATTCAGACTGGGTGCAAAGCAGGTGCCGCGTCCTTCAAAGTGGCTTCCTCGGGACACAGGGTGACCTGGGGGGGCCACGCTTGGACTGTGAGGCAGACACCGTGGCTGTCACCTCCGCCCCCGGGCACCCTCGCCATCCTGGAGCACGCTGCCCTGTGTCCTGGCACCAGCACACGTCTTTCCTTCCCGAGGGCTTTCCCTGGCTGCCTCAGACAGAGCCAGATGTACTAGGGTTCATGCCTGCCCACGGTAGCAAGAGTAGGAGGCAGTGCCTCAGGTGAGCTGGGGTATAAATCCCCCAGCTCCCTCTCCCTTGGGTGCCGTAACTCTGGGTTGCCTGTCTGTTCTGTCCCAGAGTTTCCAGCGGGCATGAGCCGTGACCTGCTTTGTAACGTTTTCCTCAGTGACAGTCTTTCCTGTTCCATCTCACATTCCCTCGTCCCTCAAATCAGTGTCTCAGGCTCTGCTCCCAGGAGAATCCAAATGAAGGCGGGCAGGTGGAGGCTGGGGAAACTGAGCTGACGCCTGGGTCACCCAGCACCAGGCAGATGGGAGCCCGGACCCCGACTAAGACGCAGCCTTTTATTCATTCATTCGACACATCATGACCGACACCTTGATGGGCCAGGTCCTGTGGTGGGCACGAAACAGAGATGGTCCCTGACCTCTGGAAATGACAGACCGCTGCGGAGGGCAGGGGGGTGGGGAGGGTGTCTATCAATAAGCAATAAGCAAATAAAGTAAGAGAAGTGCCCGAGTGCCCAAGTGCAAAGTCAGGCTGGGTCTCCTCCCTCCGGGGAGGGGACGCTTAAGGGGAAGACATAAAGGGGGGGGGATGTGAAGAGAAGGAGTTCCCCCCTGGGGCAGAGGACAGAGGGTCACACGTGGCAGAAGCCTTGTGCCATATTTGCAGCGACGCTGATGTGGGTGTTTGGACTTCACGGGCACTTGAACCAGATAAGGAACAGAAACCCTAGTTCAACCTGCTTTAAGCATAAAAGGGAAAACATTGCCCAGAGTAGCAGACACGGTTGTGGGGGGACAGGTGGAATTGGGGACCAATGGACGCTTTCACCTCTGTTGTCCTCCTGGTTCGGTCCCTCACGCTGACTATACTCTTAAGCCAGCTCTCCCTTTGCATTTGCCAGATCCACCCAGACTCCCCAAAAAAGGGGGAAAACGCACCCATAGCGGTCCCCCTAAGTGAGCGGCTCATCCCAAATCACTTAGGACATTTTGGGACAGACCCGGACCGTGGGCCCCACGCGCGTGGCATTTTCTACCCAAGCCACACTCCTGAGCATACGCCCGGCACATATGAGTGCTTGTGTCCTCCCAGGGACGTGTCCGAGAGTGTTCACGGCAGCTCTCTGCGGAACAGCCCAAAAGGGGAAGGACTCAGGTATCCGTGGGCGGTAGAACGGACGAGTGCAATCCGGTATATCCAGGGGAGGGAGTATCTCACAGCCGCGAAGAAGGACACCGGCCGGTTGTCCCCACGGTGGGGCTGAGTCTCACAGATGGATTATCAGGAGAAATAAACCAGCCCCAGGAGGGGAAGCCCGCCAGGGTGCTGCAAGTTCTGTCTTTTTCTTGGTGGCGGTACCTGGGTAG